CTTCCAACCCTAATTTCATAACTTTGGTAATTTCCCCTCCCTTTCTCGGTTTCTCCTCACTCACGTTGCAGACAGCCCCTCACTCACTCTTGGTTTCAGTCGGCCAATGAAGCTCTCAAGTCTCACTTCACCTTCAACCTTCCTCTCCCCTTCTTGCTGCTACAGATCTACTGCAAATCTATTGTTGGAGCTGCTACAAATATGCTGCTGGACCTATTACAGATCTACTCCTGGAGTTACTGTCAAAGCTGTTAGCTGTAGCTTGCAGATCTGTTGGAGTTCATCCTGCTGACTGCTGAACTTTGTCTCTGCACTTGCTTTCTGCTGCTTGCTGCACTGTGCCGGACTTGCTGCCTGTGCCGGACTCCCTCTCTGCTTGCTGCACTGTGCCGAACTTGCTCTCTCCTTGCAACACTGTGCCGGACTTGCTGCCTGTGCCGAACTTGCTCTCTGCTTGCTGCACTGTGCCTGACTTGCTGCCTGTGCCGAACTTGCTCTCTGCTTGCTGCACTGTGCCTGACTTGCTGCCTGTGCCGAACTTGCTCTCTGCTTGCTGCACTATGCCGGACCCCTCTCTGCTTGCTGCATTGCGCCGAACTTGCTGCTTGTGCCGGACTTGCTCTCTGCTTACTGCACTGTGCTGGACCCCTCTCTGCTTGCTGCACTGTGCTGGACCCCTCTCTGCTTGCTGCACTGCACCGGACTTGCTCTCTGCTTGCTGCACTGCGCTGGACTTGCTCTCTGCTTGCTGCACTGCGCCGGACTTGCTCTCTGCTTGCTGCACTGTGTCGGACTTGCTCTTTGCTTGTTGCCCTGTGCCGGATTCCCTCTCTGCTTGCATTCCCTCTTGGCATCCAACAGTAAGAAGTTTAATAATTTGATTATGGTTGAATTAACATAGAGAAAGTTTGGATTTCCTAGAATTTACTAGATTTAATGGTTGTTTATAGTCGTTTATATTAGTGAATTGCCTAGTTAATTTTTTTACATATAGCCATATACTGATATACATATAATATAGAAAAAGTTTAAAGTTTATTTTATAATGACTTATTTGGTATGAAAATTTATTTTATATTTCAATGGAAAAGCATAATTGTTTTTTTTTAAATTTATTTTTAGGTGATAAATGTCTAACACAAGAGCAAAGTGTGAGGGATCATTGCAAGCTCCACCACCAATTCAAATTCCTAATGAATCAAGTGGTAATTTTATGGCAATCCCTAAAGTGTTTTGAGTTGGTTCTTGGTTACTTCCCTTCATACTGAATGTTGGTTTAGTTTAGTTATTTTATTTATGTTGGGTTGATTTTTGCTTATATTTGGAACAAGTATGTTACTTTATATTAGATTAATTTCTATGTATATTTGGAACAATTTATGTTTGGAACATGTTGCTTTATATTGGATTAATCTCTATTTGGAACAATTTTATTGATTTAATTATTTATGTTAAATTAATTTTTATTTATATTTGATGCAAAAAATATATACTTTGTTATTAATTGGTGGGGAATGGGGACAGGGGGCAAAATCTGCTCCTCGTTAAAAATTCCCGCGAGAATCCCCGTCCCCGCCATTCACGCGAACGAGGACGAGGAGGTACTCCCCATCCCCGCTGGGGCCCCGTTGACATCCCTATTAATAAGGACATGTTTAAAAACAAAAAGTGTATTTTTTAAAATATTTTTATTTTTTATTATTAAAATTATTAATTTTATATTTTTATTTTTTGTGCTTA